GATCGCGGGACGATCTCCGGCCACCGTAAGCGCGGGCCTGCGGACGGCGAGCATGGGTGGCTCCCCGTCCGACCAGAAACAGACCCGAGCGTACGGCGCGTCGCGTTCCGCGCGCGCCTCAAAGAGCCATCAGACCACCACAGATGGGGCCCAATAGGGCCGATGCCGATTCGGAGTCGCGGAGAACCTAACGGGTAACCGGGGCTCCGGCTCGACGTGCAGGAGAAGGAACGGGGTGGTTTTTAGTCAGTAAGAGTCTGACACTCCCTTCCGCCTCACCCAGGCGGGAGCAGTCATTCGATGATTTTCCCCCCTTAAAAAAAAAAAAAAAAAAAAGTATTATTAGTAGTACCTATAGATATTCTAAGTATTATCATCACTTAACTTAATTTTTATATATTTCCAGCAATTTTTTAACCATACCTACGACCATGAACTTGGACAAAGTTATTGGCCTCAAAATAAGAATAGAATGAACAATATGCCAACTAAAGCCATCTCCCGATATATTGGGTAAGTGATTCGAGAGAACCAATATTCGCTAACATGGCGCCTGCTTACCATAATCAAATATCATTTCTATATTACACAGACACGTTGGGAAATGAGCTGATATTGTGAATCGAGACTTTTTGTAGTATATTTTGCTTTGGTGTAATTTGTTCAGTACCTAGTGGTCGGCTAATGTCGCGGAGAACCTAACGGGTAACCGGGGCTCCGGCTCGACGTGCAGGAGAAGGAACGGGGTGGTTTTTAGTCAGTAAGAGTCTGACACTCCCTTCCGCCTCACCCAGACGGGAGCAGTCATTCTATGATTTTCCCCCCTTAAAAAAAAAAAAAAAAATAGTGGTCGGCTAATGTTGAAAATCCTTACTAATATTATAAATCTGAAAGTGAGTTTGTTTATTTGTTTGTTCCACCTTCACGCCGTAACTACTAAACCGATTGCTTTGAATTTTTGCAGACGAAAAGTTAGAAGTCCGGATTAAATAAAGGTACTTTTTAATCCGGAAAAAATGATATTCCCGAGGAAAAACAAAAGTTTTGGTATAGATGGCGCTGTGTGTATTGGTATATGTCACATAGGCTACTTTTTATACGTTTCTTTTGTGACGCGAGCAAAGCCGCGGGTAAAACTTAGTGTTGGTTATAAGTTGCAAGCCGTTTTTGAGAAAATAGCCTTGAATTTATAGCTAATATTCCTGGAGCTATAAATAAAATATTTGTTAATTAATTAAAATAAAAAATTCTGATACTTTGCCGTGCTCGAGCTTAAGAAGCTTCGAACTGAAGAGCCCTAAATGGACTGTCACGCTTGTAACTATCGACTTAAGTAATACTGGGTTTATTAAAAAAAATCAGTATTAGCACGGAGTTTGGAATTGTGCCCGGTATATGGCAATAAGCTCACCCCCTATTACATGGAACTTATAACATATATACTAAAAGTTTTACACTGTACAGTGACATTAAGTGCTGTAATGTACACCTATGCCTACCCCATTCGGAGTCACGGAGCACCTAACGGGTAACCGGGGCTCCGGCTCGACGTGCAGGAGAAGGAACGGGGTGGTTTTTAGTCAGTAAGAGTCTGACACTCCCTTCCGCCTCAGCCAGGCGGGAGCAGTCATTCGATGATTTTTCCCTCCTTAAAAAAAACTTCCTACCCCATCGGGGATAAAAGGCGTGAGGTTATGTAGTCCTAATACTTACACAATATTCACTTCACTTCACCGAAGCTACAAAGCAGCGAATAGCTATAATAGCTATAAATCTCTCAGTATGTCAAGCTGTATGAGTGCTATAAAAACGTGCCGCTACTGCGCTTGCAATAAATCTGTCGGAAACTGGCTTAATGTATTTCTTAGTCCACTATTATAGTGTTTAAAATGTTAAAATCGATACAAATTTACTTGAATTTTAGAGCGTGAATTCATTGTTGTTATTGGGTGCTCAAAATGGTGGATCGAGTATATTACTGAATACCAGACGCCATGTCAATTTAAAGATAAGTACTTACCTACTGTTATCGAAATATCATACCTAAGATTAACGGGGAGGCCAAGGAGGCGCATAGAACATAATATATCTACAAAGTACCGTCCATTTTTCACTAGTTAGGTATGTTATGAGTGGCCCGAGCGTACGGTGCGTTGCGTTCCGTGCGCGCCTCAAGGAGTCATCAGACCACCACAGATGGGGCTCAACAGGGCTGATGCCGATACGGAGCCGCGGAAGACTTAACGTGTTGCCGGGGCTCCGGCTCAAAGTGCAGGAGTAGGAACGGGGTGGTTTTTAGTCAGTAAGAGTCTGACACTCGCTCTCGCCTCACCCGGGCGGGAGAAGTCATTCGATAATTTTCCGCCCCAAAAAAAAAGGTAGGTATGTTATGAGTCCCATGGATGTGAGCTTAATTCCAGGCATAATTCAAACTATTAGCTACTGAGAAATTCTCGACAACAGAAGAACGAAAAAAAACACAAGACACTTCGGCTCGACAGCCCCACTTGCGAATACGACGACTAACTAACGAGGCAGCCATCCAATAAGTTGCACTATGAAATATAACTTTCGCATAAACGTAACAAAAGGAAAAAACTAATCGAAATAAGGGTACATTGAAGTATCTTGACCACTAAACCGCCACACTGACCCGTTGAACCGTACAGAACCGTGTAAATATCACCTAAGCAATAGTGCTTATACAAGGTGTTGTTTTAAAGCCGCGTCATTTTCTAGGAGGTAACTCGGATATCGATTCTGAGTCCAAATCAATAAAAAAAATTGTAGGTAAATATTTTTCATTTTTCTGAAATTACGGAAATCCGAAGTGAGAAGTACACGCCGCTGTCTTGTAACTAGCTTTATAACGCGGCTTAACACACACAAACTCAAACACGTAATTGATATTATTCCTAATTCCATAAAACTCAAATAAGAAACATTTCTGTCGCTTATTCTGAAATACTGTCGAACTTAAACGATTTATTATAGCCGTATTTTTAACTATAGGCCCGAAATTTTCTCTTACATTGAACCTTTATGACTTCTGTGACATGCCCCTGAGAAATGACACGGTTTCAAAACTACACCTGGTATAGTAGTATAGACTAGAGGTCATAAATAACGACACTTACCCCTTTCTGTCCAGGGTGTCTGAAGCTGTCCAATAAAAGCACCTGAGACAAAATACCTGTTTAGGCGGCTTACTACGCTCCACCGCAATTTGGAGCTCATCAATTTACGCTCTCCCAAAATGGAAGACTGGGCTTAAAGACCATGTTGTTAATTAAAAAGTAAGGATTTTTATCCCCGAACCAAAGCGAGCCGTATGGTAACGGTATAAAGTATAGAATACATTTGGCACCATAATTTCTCTTCAGCGGGTGTAGTAAGATTGACTATGCATTTAACTCGTCGAGTACCGGTTTTATAGACACAATTAAAGAACAATAGGTCGCGGTCACCGGTGACCGCTTGGTATTTGACAGTTTAATAGAGATCTTACACTCATAGCAGCGCTTCCAGATAAACGTGAATTTTTTAAATTCCTTCACAACCTTGATATTTTTAACTAAAACATGACAGGGCAGTTATAGACAGGTAGGACCGCAAATGTATATAACTTGAAACCTGGTTTTCGGTGATCACCATCCTTACTTAATATCCTTATCCTTACTAATATTATAAATCTGAAAGTGAGTTTGTTTGTTTGTTCCACCTTCACGCCGTAACTACTAGACCGATTACTTTGAATTTTTGCAGACGTAAAGTTAAAAGTCCGTATTAAATAATAGGGTACTTTTTATCCCGAAAAAATATTGATATTCCCGAGGGAAAACAAAAGTATTGGTATTTTTTTATGGGGGGAAAGTCATCGAATGACTGCTCCCACCTGGGTGAGGCGAGAGGGAGTGTCAGACTCTTACTGACTAAAAACCACCCCGTACCTTCTCCTGCACGTCGAGCCGCAGCCCCGGTTACCCGTTAAGTTCTCCGCGACAAAAGTATTGGTATAGATGGCGCTGTGTATTGGTATATGTCACATAGACTACTTTTTATCCTTTTGTGACGCGAGCGAAGCCGCGGGTAAAAGCTAGTAATAAAATATTTCTGTGGTGATTACACTTGGGGCGATTTGCTCAACGACGTTGTCAAGAAAGTAAAGAAAACACATGCTACTGTTACTTTTATTGTTATTACAAGTGTTTAAATGTTTATTTTTCTAATAATAAGAAGTTAATAGTCTTAAGATGGTGAAACAAGAACACTCTTAGCTGTAATGGGTTCAATAGCTTTAAAACACGTAGGTAGGTACCGACGTAGTACACCCACTTTTCACTATTTATGTTATGAGTCCCATGTAATAGGGGGTGAGCTTATTGCCATATACCTACCTACCGGGCACAATTCCAGACTCCGTGCCACTACTGAGAATTTTTTAAAAACCCAGTAATACTTTGCCCGAGCCGGGAATCGAACCCGAGACCCCTTGCCCGGCAGTCGCACTTGCGACCACTCGGCCAACGAGGCAGTCCCATGTCCCATTAGTCCCACGTACCTACCTAATAGAGAGTGAGTCTATTGCACTGTACCGAGCACAATTCCAGACTCCGTGCTAAATCTGACAATTAAAAAAAAACCGCAAGCACTTGCAACTGCTCGGCCAACGAGGCAGATTCCTTTTATTCCATTCATAAAATGAAATGTTACCATGAAATACTTCCAGGCCTAAACCAGGTCCATAATTTTTTTTGGGAACAAAGAAAGCAATATGTCCATAATATAGCCTATCCATGGCGCCAGACTAATCAGAAACCAAAACAAAAATTATAAAAGTGCAGTCCACAAACAACAGTTTATCTCCCATCAAGTGGGGTCCACAAACTTTAACAAAGTAAATTACAGTGTAAATTGTAGAATCAATTAATTCCGACGCCCATCTGTGGACAATTAGTGGACAGTGGACAATTATTTGCTGTTTTGTGTCAAACATTTGCTCAGCTCTCGTCCGTTTGTAATGTCCACATCAGCTGTGGGTAGAGAAAAATTCACTTTTATAACGACTTTTTTTTAAATCGAATCCTGTTTCAAGTGTTTAAGATTGGAATTTGTTTGGGTGGGGTTTTAATGTCTCTGATTCATTTTTATTTTAAGAGTTTTATTTTTATTGAAATGGAATTTCAATTTGAAACATATTTTCAATTTTAAACTTCCAACCTCTTATAAGTGACCGAAAAAAATTATGTGCAATTGAACTACTTACAGTAGACCCTATATGATCGTCATGTGAGTGAGGTTACCGAAGGCCCAATCTCCCCAAACCCTAAATCCCCAACAATCCCTAAATTTCTTGGCAGACCACAACTGTACGCTTCTCAGCTTATTTTCTGCCTCGCACAGCAAACTGTTGTGAGAAACAGCAAAACTAGAGTGATCTATCGTCGGTCGGCGATATTTACGTACACATACGACCTTCAAACCTTCAAGAAAAGAGCGTATTCCTTTTTAAAAGGCCGGCAACGCACCTGTGACTCCTCCGGTGCGGCGGGTGTCCATGTCGTCTGATCGCTTACCATCAGATGATTCGTCTGCTCGTTTGCCTCCTATTCCATAATAAAAAAGATTCATCAAGATCAAGATAAGAAAAAAAGTATCCAGAGCTCTGAGGTTTATTAAAGGCATAGTATTCAAAGCCTAGTACCATTTCATTCTCTAGATACAATCACTTAGCTTAAACAACTTTATATTCTCTAATCCACTTACAAAAAAACCAAACGGAAGTCATAAAAAAAATAAACACCCTTTACCCTCTTAATACCGCAACACGTGTTCGTCGTAACTTGACCTAAATCAATCAGCTTCCCAAGTTAGTTACCAAGTTATAAACTAAGCGAGTGTGTAGGCAATTACCAAGCTATCACCCGCTTGATAGCCCACTAATAGACTTGGGCTACTGCAAGCTAAACTTTATTAAAAGAGGACACCCTTTGTTTATGGCTACGTGTGTGTGCGTGTCGATAGGGAGGTATGCGATTTTGTTGTGTTTTTTTCTTTTTATATATAAAGTGTGTTGTGCAGTATACCTCTACATAACATAAAATCACGCCTTTTATCCCCGAAGGGGTAGGTAGACGGTAGGCAGAGGTGCACAGTATGCCACTGTACAATGTAACACCCACTTTTCACTATTTATGTTACGAGTCCCATGTAATAGAGGTGAGCCTTATGCCATATACCGGGCACAATTCCAGACTCCGTGCTACTACTGAGAATTTTTTTAAAACCCAGTAATACTTTGCTCTATGACTATAATACTATAATATCACAGTTCTCCTAAAACTTTTACATAAATAGGTGCCTAAATCTCAGAATGTACAGCCTTAACTAGTATTTATTTTTAATTGATTATCCAATAATTATTTTATACTGTTTTTATTGGTAATTTTTTTATTAGTAATTACGATTACAAAAATTGACTGTTGAGACTTTGCTGCCATCTATGGTTTCTATCCTGAACTAATTTTATCCCTCAAGGGATATGCAGTACCTATGTACCTCATGCTTATAATGTGTTGTCTCTTGTAATATTGTCTGTATGGTGTGGGTACATGAAATGATAAATAAATAATTTTATTGAAACTCAGTTGAGCAACGCTGAAACACGTCGCTGATTCGATTCCCACACTGAACAATTTTCTTTATGTGATATCTGAAATAAACAATTTGTGGTGAACAAATTGTTAATTTCGCTTGTAAGTAAAACATACCTACTTTAAAATTGGTATTTTCCTAAAATCCATTCTATGGGCAATTGTATTAATTACATATACAATTATAAAAATAAATCTGACATGTTATTTACAGTTTTTATTTAATTGAGACACATAACAACCAACAAAAGTAAGTTTTGAGCCTATTAACGTCTCAACTGGCACTATATGAGACGCGATAGAAAAAAAAAATGTGTCTTGTTTAAATCTACTCTAGATACTGACAAACAACAGGTAAGAAATTGAGTAAAAATCAAATTATTGCTTTAAATTGTTTTAATTGCTTACATGAACTATAAATATAAATAAAACTAGCCACTCCCGCGTTTTACCCGTTCTACTCGGCGGCTATTTATCGCAGCGTGATGTTTTAGCCTATAACCTATAACCGTCCTCGATAAATGCACTATCCAACACAAAAAGAATTATTGAAATTGGACCAGTAGTTACTGAGATGAGCGCGTTCATACCAACAAACAAACAAACTCTTCCGCTTTTTATAATAATAAATTATAATATAAGATATAATATTATATTACCTTACATACCCTTGTCGAATACCAGAATTAACTAAAAATTACGAGTTACTCACGCAAATATAATAAAACATCACGCCTTTTATACCCAATAGGATGGCAGAAGTGTACATTAGCGCACTTAATGCCACTGTACAATGTAACACCCACTTTTCATATTTATGTTACGAGTCCCATGTACCTAATAGAGGTGAGCCTATAGCCATATATCGGGTAATTCCAGACTCGTTGCTACTACTAAGAATCTTTCTTAAAAACCCAATAATACTTTGCCCGGCCCGGGAATCAAATCCGAGACCCCTTGCCCGCCAGTCGCAATTGCGACCACTCTACCAACGAGTCAGTCACGCAAATATACTGACTGTAAATATACAGTATATAAACGTGAGTAATTCGTAATTTTTAGTTAATTCAACATAAACATATATATAGATATAAGATTATTCAACAATCTTAAACAGTATTCCTAATTTATAATAAGGAAATTAAATGCAAAATGTTTGTTACACATTCACACCAAAAATTACCGAACTGAATATATGATTATTTTTGGTATATATGATAATGGTATATATGAATATATGATTATGGTAGATAGATGGGATGTTGAAAATATTTTTGCATAGTCACAGATGCTTGTATATCCATTCTTAATTACCTTGATGAATAGTGGTCTCAAGTAATAATGTAATATAGAAAACATCACACTTTTTAATTAAATTATTATACAATTTAACACCCACTTTATGACATCGTTTGTCTATGAATTTGTCTTTAAATAAAATTCCAGAATTGTTTATAGAACTTTAAAGTCATTAATTTCTGCAACCATACAGTCTAACTTAAACTGAAAATTATAACAATATAAATAAGATTGGTCTATATAACAAAACATACAATATACAATATTCTTATAACTTAACTTAACATTAATATACATGTACCATACCATAAATAAAGGTCCAAAACAGTACATAAGTGAATAATGCTCCGAAGAAACCGTTGGTCAACAAACTCTGTCTGGAAACGTAATATTTGCTCCAGTTCGGCCCTGTTTTTACCATAAACATTACCCATAGACTAACTACTGCAAACACGTAGAAGGCGAAGCCATAAAGGCCTGTGAGTCCAAGTACACCTGGAATTGAGAAGATTTTTAGGTTATAATGAGATTTATAGAGGTTTTTTTGCATAAAAAGAGAATTGAAAAAATTTTTTATTAGTCTTTATTCTGAAATATGTTTGGAAAGAGTACCTAATCATTGACCTTAGATGTTGCTAAATGAATATTAATTAATGAATACTTTTATTCTCTCACATAAGTGAAGATTGGTATAGTCATATTTTTAAGAGTAATAATAAAATCAATAGGTACAAATAGTTTACATAAAAGAAAGAATGTGTCTATTAAGTCTTATTTATACAAAAGATTCTTTTAGTACTTATTAATAAATATCTAGAATATTGGTACTTTTACCTCATTGGTAAACAGAATGAGGTTGTAGTCAGATTCTAAATAATACTTCAATTACACTGTTAAACCCTTACAAGTAGGTACATTACTCAAAATAAGGTACAAGTATTAGGTATTATTACAATAGAATTGTATTACCTGCAGTAGATCCCGATAATGCAGCCATGGATGTTCTGCAATATTCCACGACCACTGCATTGTTTCTCAAAGCTGCGTCACTGTACGCAACGGGCTCAGACTTATTGCCATCTTTAGTCACTTTAGCTACAGACATCTTTTTATTTTAATTATGCCCGTTGGATAAAACGAAGAAATTATAACAAAATTTTCAATAATTCATGAAATGAATCTCAATTTCCGAGTCGGACGTTTTGATTTTGACGTCCGATCTGACAATTCACTGTCGTTCATGGTGACATTGACGTTTTTTTTATTGTCTTGTCATTTTACGACGATTTTCCGGTAAAAATGACAGATAGCAGCTGATTGTTTATGGGATAGTCTTCGAAATAATTTGCCGTATGTAATGATTTGATAAGTTAAATTATATTTTAAAGCAAAAGTCATAGTATTTGCACAATAGTCAGACAAATAGTTTATTTTACGGACAATAATAGTATAAATACCAGAATAATTTCCGTTACTATACCATAGACCTACTGAAATGACATTTCAATGAACAAATTAAAAATAAACGATAAAGTAGTTGTGATTCCGTACATAATTATTTCTTATTTTCATGCAACAATGGATTCTGTGATAATTAGGGTTTCGTATATTAATTTTGTTTATCAGAATTTGCAATTTAAACCTGTTTGAAAATATGAACGTGTTGTCAACTTAACATTTTTCGTTCTTAGATTTAGTTTCATGATGTACCTAGAATTAAAAACCAGTGGAACATAATAATGATGCTTTTGGTACATTTCCTAAAATTATATCACTTATTTCATTAAAGGGGCAAACACAAATGTGGTATATGTGAACTTAATAATATCCTTTTACCTACTCTGTTTTCGTCTATTGTTCTATCTGACTAATTAATGATACATAAATAATGTAGATAATTTATTATTATTTGAAAAATATTCGATATTGGCTTATTCACAGGATTAGGTATAAGGAGAACATAAAATTTTTATTTTAAACATTTCTTCTAATAAAAAACACAAGATCAGTAAAATTCACTGTATTACTTAACTTGGTAAAAAATAGAAGTTTATTTAAAGTACTACCTACATTCTCAGATATTCTATTGTGTGTGTTGTGTTGTTTTACAGGAAATTGATAGTTGCACTAATTTATCATTCTTCAATTTGTAAGGATCCCTAAAAACGAACTATTTTGAAAGCGTCGGTAAAGCAGTGGTGATAAGAACGAAGCCATTGAACTGTGTGAAACTCTACACTTGTGTGCGTTATAATAATACAAAAATTCTCGTTCTTACGCTCACGCACACACGCTCAAATTATTCATGTGTTTTCGCGGCACTGAGCGTCGGTATTTCTGTGGCGGAACTTATTTTCATTTGTAATTCTAAATTTAATTCGTTTTAATCAGTGTTTATAGTGTTATTCGTAAGATAATTTGTGATAACGTATGTGAAAAACGTAGTGATGGTTACTGTGGGCTGGTTCCGTTCATTTCGATGTATAAAATTATGATGGCGCGTGTTTGACTGTGTTACTGAGTGCTTTCTCGTAACAAATTAGGACTTTGCTCGAACGATATTTGAGCGCTAATAATTCTAGTTAATATTCCTGTTTCTGTGTTATTTAACCTCTCTGAATTTGATGCTGGAACAATTATATCTGGAAACATCGTTGTGCAAAAAAGGATATTAAGTTTTCGATGTACTGTGGCTCAATTATGCACCAAGGAGACCGCCAATCTGACGATTTGCCTGGTGCAAATAGCAATCACTGACGCGACTAAACTGTGCAACGACGAGGTGAGGCCATAATTTATGTTTTAATTCACAATTATTCTCATTTCTACAATCAAAACATGATATTATGTTCAAATATTGAATTAACCTATTTCAATAGAAAAACGAAACTTCATTTTGATTCTTTTGTTTCAGAAAACCAAGTGAAGTGCTTGGAGACGGGCGTAACCTGTTAATATTGGTTCACCGTCACATTTCTCATTGAATTATTCTCAAAATTATGAAATTGCAATAAAATATTCGCGTTTTCTGGCGATACTTGCGATGTTCTATTTTGTTACGTCAGACGCGTATAGAAGGTCCTAGATTCGTTGGCAGATATCAGAATGGATGAATCTGAGGATAACATGAGCTCTGAGGATCTGAAGGCTTCAGACAGCCCCGTGACTGTCAAAGCAAAACCAAAGAAAAGGTCACTGATCGAACGTGAACTTGAAACCAGTTTGACTGCAAGAGTGACTTCACCGGTGTCCACTGGTGATGGAACCAGCACCAGCCGCTATGGCAGAGCCCGCCGTCTCAAATCTGAGATTGAGCAGTCTGACACTAAGAAACTGGCTAATGAACTAAAATCTCCATTGCCCGAGAAATCTCCAATCAAGATGCCGTCACCAGTTTACAAGATGCATGCATCAAACTCTCCTTTAAGATCTGAACAGCCAAAAGCAGCTGGCGTGGAGACTTTTTTGGAAAATCAAATTGAAAATATTTATCAAGAGAACATATCATTGAGCCGTTTTGGCACTGAAGAAGTTAAGAAGACTAGTCCGTCACCTGCTAAAAAGTTCCCTAAAGTTTACATAAGGAAAGACTTGATTCAGAAAAGGGAAGCTGATGAGAATGTCACATTTATAAAGGATATGTTCTCTCCTTCTAAAAGTGCAAGCAAGTCTTCCAGTACACATTTAAATAATATACTGGAAAGGTCCTCTGAGAGATATAATATAGCATCCAAACAACAGAATGGACTTTTGGACAACTCCTCTGTTGTTAAAACTCTAGATTTTGACAGTAAAAAGAAGAAGAAAGATAGTAATAAGGATAAGAGTCTGTCTAAAAGTGATTTGTTTGATTTGGAGGCCAAATGTGCTTACCAAGTGGGTGATCTGGCCTGGGCCAGAATGGGAACTTATCCATTCTGGCCATCCATTATAACCAGAGATCCAGCCAATGGAATATTTGTTAAAAAGAAGTGTAAGTATTAGAAACTAAACATATTAAAATGTTTCTGACTGATATTTAAAATCCATGTAATTAATTATGCAGGCATGCAGTTTTTATTTTATTATTTCATGTTGCCTTCCTTTAACTTGAATTGATAACAGTATATTGAAATAATAATACTCATAATACAAATTAGCTACATTTTGTTCTTCATCTTCATTTTATGTATTCCATTATTTCATACTGTAAGGTAAAAAAATGATAATATACAAATTAAATAATTGTATATGTACATTTCCAGAAATTATATAAGTTAGATAATAATATAGAATACTTTGTAAATAATACAAAACATAATTCAATTAGATTACTATTTTAATTTACTTTAAAAATCATTCGCTAATTACTTTATTGTGTAATTTGTTTCAATGTCTATAGAATTATACTTACTATATTTTTTTAGGTACTTTAAAATTTATCTGTTAATTTATTTCCTTTCAGTATTTGGCCGTATAGAACGTGACGTTATTCATGTGACTTTCTTTGGAGATAATGGACGTCGAGGATGGATTGTGGACACAATGCTGCGGAAATATCATGGCCAGCTCGAGTTTGAGGCTACTCGGGAAAACTTTACTCCTGAGGTAATTTCATATTTTGTGTATTTAATTTTCGTAGATGAATTTTCGTTGATGAATTTTCGTTGACTCTGAGGTTTAGTTAGTGGCTGGATTACATTTTATAAATAGGTAAAAGAAACTGGACGCTACATAATAATATTAAAGTTTTATTTATGCCACATCAACAATTTAAATATGATTATTACATAGCCGCCGCAAGTTGATCTAAATATTGGCGCCAAAGCTACTTTAGAACATGATGTACCTAGAATAAATTCAACCAAACATTGTGACCAATAACATTTCTTAGCAGTTCTTGCTAAACATGTTGGAGCCAATGTTTGACCTAACATGTAGAACCAGCTTTAGTTAGGTAATAAATGTAAAAGAAACATGGAAGAGTTTACATTATTCCTGTTTAGGTCTTGTTACACATGTCTAGACCTTAATACAAACACAATTGACAATCTACTGAATTATACTACATTTTTGAAAAATAAACTTAATCTTCTTTTGCACACAAATAGCGCTAATGGGCCTTGTGCTGGAAATCAGCGCCGCGACTCGAGTTATCGCGGTTGAGTCACGGCATTTTAGCTGAGCACTGGCCTTTTTGCACATTTTTTTTTATCTAATTTTCGGTACAAATAATCGTTTTTCTTTCTTTCTCACTCTGCATGCTAAGTGTTAGATATTGCATACCCCTAAAGATGATTACTTTGCTTTGATTACTCCGCCTCAAAGAGCAGGAGTAGGAACAGGGTGCACTTAACTCAGTAAGAGTCTGACACCCTCATATGCAGTGTATCCCATAATTACCAGGTTTGTTATTAAGAACTCGACTCCACAATATTGGCGTGGTGAACAGCATCCTTGCTTGCTCGATCTCTGATAGGGCAAAAATTTGTACAAATTGATATAGATAATGATGTTATGTGAATTTTGACAGCACTAGGCCATATTACCTCTGAAAGACCGAGCCTCTTAAACAAATTAAAAAAATAATTGTTAACAACCATATAATATTGCCATTGGTTGCAGTTGGTTTCCAAATGTTGACTTCAGGGTCTCAATTTCTCAAGCTCCGCAGCTCAGCCGTAGCTAAGTTTTTGATACATATCTGCATAACTCCATAAGGTTATCATCTATTATTATAACCTAGGTAACTGTAACAAATGGATACGTTGATGTAACCTTGATGCTGATAAATAATGTAAAATGAATTTTAATATTTTCTTTTTAATATCTTGTACTGTGCAATGCGATTTGTAATTTCATAAAGTAATAACTATAATCAGTAAATTAAATGGTGATTTATATAAATGATAATTATATAAAAGTACTTAAAACAACCATATTAATTATTTGAGAATTGCCACATGCTTTTACTGCCTTGAGCTCTATCTTGTACACCATTAAGTCGTTTTTACTCCGCTATAAAAGTCAATTGCTAATACAGATAAATATTTCTCTTTTCTAGGACAAGAAAAAAGACCCGAGACTGTACGCAGCATTCTTTGTATCGGAAAAGAAACAAGCTCTGTGGAACACTTCAGTGGAAGAAGCTGAAATGCTGCTGAGGGAGCCAAAGAGATTGAGAATAGACATTTTCAATGACATGCTAGAAAAGTCCAGGTCCAGAGCAAAGCAGCAAAAGAGCGGTAAAATTAGTAGAACAGACAGTGACGTATCTTTAAGCGAGAGTTTATACGATAGCTTGTTCTCCGAAGACGATGGTAAGACAGACAGTACAGAACGTTCCAGAAATAGGACAAGGAACAAGTCCTTAGACGTTTTTGAAGTCGTCACAGCCTGCCTCGACAATATGGCCGCCAAAACTGGCATCACCAAGATCCAAAGACAGTCCCACATGGATAGGTGGCTTCAGAAAGCCAAATCCAAAACCCCAGAGAAAACTCAAGCTAAATCTCAAGTTCCTCAAATTAAATTAGATGATAAGAAAGAAACTAAAGTAATTAGTTCTAAAAAAAAGAAGAGTCTGTCTCGAGTCGCTGTTAAAAAGCCTTATAGTTTAAGAAAATCTATGGCCGAATCTCAGAATCTGTTGTGTTTTCAAAATGAACATGATTATAGTAAAGTTGAGATAGTTACAGATTCCGATCATAATTCTACCGACACTGATAGCTGTAAGAACTTTGCTGCACAAAAGCTGACTGAGAAAGGTAAAGTAGATGACCCTATTATTGTAGATAGTCAGAGTAGTGAACATGAGACCGAAACCGAAACTGAATTAAGCCAAACTGGTACAGAAGTAAGCCGAAGTGGTACCGAAGTAAACCAAATTGGTATTGATCTGAGCCAAAGTGGCACTGAAATAAGCCGAAGTGGCACTGAAGTAAGCCAAAGTGGCACTGAAGTAAGCCAAAGTGATACTGATGAAGTCAATGCTATAGAAACAACAACTGGATTAAATGGAAAATATGATTCTGACTTAGAAACTAGTAATGAAGATTCCCAGGATCACGCCAGTATCATAAGTACGGCTATATCCTTAAAAATTGCAACAGAGGATGAAATGGCACCAATAGATGCTGCAATACATATAAAATCAGCTTTCGATACTGATGATACCACACAAGACACTGATGATACCACACAAGACACTGTTATTGATACAGATCAAATAATGAGTCCAGTGTACGAAGATTCATTTGATGAAATCAGTCAAATTGCAATTGATGAGAGTGTAAATTCAAATGCTGAAATACAACCAGAGTCTGTTGAAACAGAATCGCAAGATGAAATAACAAACGATACAATAAGCACTGAAATAAGTAGCGTGTCTATTGATGACAGTGATTATAAACCTCAAAATAGTATTGCATCAGAAGATGAAAGTATGAACACTACTCTTCTTACTGACGATAGTATAGAGGTCGATCTAGGTAAGGAACCTACTAAATCTAAAACTAGTGCAGATTTAGTAAAGGTTCCACATGGACACTCAATTAGTAGTGACAGTGACACTAAAGAATATAATAAAATTACTACCATTAATAAATTACGTAACTCCAAAAACGAAGGAAAAGAAGATTTTAGTCTTAATAGTAAATCTAATGATGCAATATCAATCGAATCTAATGATAGACTGAGAAGTGTGAATATAATTGAAATGGTCAAAGAAACTAGACCAATGAATGGACATGTTAATATCAAAGAAATTGATATGGATGTTGATGAAGTTCAAATACCTAGTCTTAAGCCGCAAATCGTGGAAAATGGCTTCCATGATGAAGGCACACATATGAATGGCGATGTTGATTCAGATATCATTTCCATCCATTCGGAAGATAGCGTTTCTTCCACGAAATCGGATAGTAGAAGAAGATTACGTTCAAGGCAAAATAAAAATCAGGTAAACCATAGTCCTTTAGAAAACCCTGAATTCGTTAAATATTTTGAACTAAGACAAGATGCGATCATGGATGAGAATCCGGAGTTGAGTCAAGATGAAATAGTAGCTTATTTATATAAAACTTGGTTGTACGAAGAAAATTCTAAATCAGATGATAAGAAAACTGAAGATTTAAGGGAATTAAATCTCGTCAAAGGACTTAATTCGGAACGTACAGAGAACAAGAAAGCCAAAGAAGTTGAGCAACCGAAAAAAAGAAATTCACATAGGAAGAATTTGAGTCTAAATAGAAATATCATGCAAAGATTTTTGCAAAAAAAAACTAGAGAGCCACCGGTAGTATATTCTATAACTGACAGTGATACTGAAAGTGTTAAAGAAGATTCACAATCAGAGGAAGAATCGCCTAGATATAGTCCTATATTAAGTAAAGCAGAGAGTGAAATGCAATCTACTCAAATGGAAATTGAAGAAACAATAGTTAAAGACAGTGCACAAGATGAAACTAATAGATTTAAACCAATAGCGCTAGATAATCCACAACCAAGTAAGATAGTAAATGAGACCACACATACTGACAAAAGTGCATCTCCTATTACAGTTATTGAAGTGCAAAATAAACAAATCGATGAAACAGAGATTGCCTTAGGATCGCGTACTGCCACTCCAATAGACGTTCAAAGTAAAAAAGACGTAACTGAAAATGTGGTAGGTAATGGACCAGAAGTAGTTCCAAGAGCTGATGACGTCACTAAAGAAAAACAACCAATTGATCCGTCAAACGCAGTACAAGTGGCTTTCCCTGAAGAGTCCGATGATAAGTTTAGAAGTGATTGTGATACAGAATCTGTAAACTCTTTAGACAGTGAAACACCTCTTATAAAATGTAAACTACGGTCCAAAAGCAAAAGAAATAATTCACAAGAAATCAAACCAAGAGATGATGAAGACACTATTTCACTAAACTCCGAAGGAAGCGAAGTGTCCATTAAACGTAAGAGGAAAACCCAAAAAAGAATAGAAAATGCTCTAGAAGATCCAGAATTCGTTAAGTATTTAGAACTAAGGCAAGATTCCTTGATAGACGAACACCCAGAATTAACCCAAGACGAGATCGTGTCTTATTTATACCAAACCTGGATATACGAAGAGAATACAAAGTCTGAAATTAAGAAGAACGATGATATAGAACAATCTAGTTTAGTTAAGGGCCTGAAAGAAACTGTACCACAACAGCCTAAGAAAATAAAGCGTAAAGTAAAAACTGAGAAAGAACAAGAAAAAGAAACTGATGATGATGCTACAGTAAAAGATAAACCCAGAAGGAAAGTAGTGAAACCTTATTATAATGAAGAATTCTCTGATGTAGAAGAAGAACTTGAAGTCTTTCCAATATTTAATCCGAACCATCAACGGCTCAATGAGAACGGCGAAACAACTGAACCGATACACGAAGTTAATGATATTGATGAAGTAGAACTTTACTTCGAACAACTAGCACGGCCGAAACCTAACGTTTTCAAAGGACTGATCAGGGAGAAGGTTTGCGAACTATGTGAGATGATTGGAAACCTGGTCAAGTGCAAAGGCTGTAATGGAATGTTTCACGTAGAATGCGTTAATAAGGAAGATGTAGACGTTGAAACTCCAGCCCCGACTAGAGGGAGAAAGAAGAAGAAAAGGCTAGGAAGGAAACCCAAAAACTCCGATGAATTTGACAGCCAAGATGACAACACTCAAAATGTTTCCGAAGAAAACGCGTCCATAGAAGAAATTATCGAATCAGAATCTCACACAGTCGACGCAGAAACGTTAGAAGCACAAATCGAAGCTAAAATGAAAGAGCTATTGGAAAACGAAAAGATCGATTACGATTCTTATTCGAGTGACGATGGCTGCGATTGGAGCGAGACAATACCAGGGAAATGCGAGATAATCGATATAAAATTGAAACCGAGACGTTCAAATGAAGTCGATTATTCGAATTTCAAATGTAAAAACTGTCAAAAGTATGATGTGCCAGTGTGTTTTGTGTGTAAATCTGCGGTGTCGAAGAACGAAGAGACTTTGAGGCAGAAGTGTCATGTGGCGCATTGTCATAAGTACTATCATTTGAAGTGTTTGGACCATTGGCCTCAAGCGCAGTTTAATGGGGGCGAGCCTTCGAAGACTAATAAGAAAATTAATGAATATTTTGAGGCGTTAACATGTCCTCGGCATGTCTGCCATACTTGTGTGTCTGATGACCCTCGCGGTTGTAAGACACGGTTTAGTGGCGACAAGTTAGCGCGGTGCGTTCGATGTCCAGCTACGTACCACTCGTTTACAAGATGTCTTCCCGCTGGGACGCAGATTTTGACGGCGTCTCATATTATCTGTCCGCGGCATTATGAGCATAGGTAAGTGTATATTTTTTCTGTTAAAGTCCATGCTGAAATATCCTGTTCAGTCAAAATGTGTTAACTACTAAAAGTTATGTTTTACCGTTTCGTCTTTGTGCAATTGTCAAACCTAGCTCGAAAACAATAAGGTGTAAAATAAAAACGACTTTGCTTTTATTCAGTTTTCAGTTCTATGAAATTGTCGTAAGATGTAAAACTAACATACTTACAGTGTCTTCATTCAATTTTAAACTCTAGCTTATAAACAATAAGGTATAAAATTCATTACGTTTGACAGGCCTGGAAAGGTGCCGTGCCACGTGAATACAGGATGGTGTTTTATTTGCGCGCTGGGCGGTTCACTTATCTGCTGCGAATACTGTCCGACCTCCTTCCACGCCGAGTGCCTTAATATTAAGCCGCCTGAAGGTAAGACATGAATTTTTTTAATAAAATAATTAATTATTATTATTATATGTTTATTTATTTCACTAACAATTATCATTATAGATTTTAAACCAATTCGATTGTATTACTGCCGAGTTCCCAAGCGGTCACCGGTGACGGCTTTCCACTTACTCCATTGTAGACCTTATTTCCGATGCTTAGAGACTACTTTTGTGTGAACAAATGTTGTTGATTTTACGTAATCTTGGATTTACTGTTAGTTTTTTTTTTGGGATAAACCGGTAAACGAGTAGACTGATAACCTGATGCAATCGGCGTCGCCCATAGACACCCGAAATACCACAGGCGTTACAAGTTCGTTCCCGACCTTTTGGGAATTAGGAATTTGAGGATTCTTGGAGATTCAGGAATTGGGGGGTAATTATGGGCCTCCGATAATCTCACTAAAAGACGAAACACAATGCAAGCGTTGTTTCACGTCGATTTTCTGTGAGGCCGTGGTATCACTTCACACTTTCGTGCCGAAGCATGGCTCTCCCACACTCAAATGTATTCGTACGGTTTTTTTTTTAAGGAAACGTTGCCCCACACTAGGATTATCTCCTGTGTCGTGGGTGCGTTTACAAACATACAAGTTCACGTACACATGACACCAAGACCCGAAACAACAATTTGTGAAATACACAAAGTGTTGTTCCGTGCGGGAATCGAACCTGCGACACGATGCACGGCAGCCGGCAGCAACCGTGCTGTCAATCAGTTATGCGATTTTTACGAATTTTATTTATTTAATTCACATAATTTTAAGAATACAACTACTTAATCAATCAGTCGATTTTAAAATGACGTAGGTACCTAACGAAATTATAGGTTATGAACTAGTTTAATAACCTAAAATGTATTAACTGATAGAGAAAATAACGGACTGTTAATCTTACATTGTTTTTTCGTTACCTTTTTCATAGACACACGCCAACACATGATTACATTACGTCATACGCAGTGTTTCGAGCGGGAATCGAAGCCTTGACCTTGTAGAGACGGGACGCTCAATGTCATTCAGTCATACATACCTACATACATACAATTGTATTCAAATAGAATTGATTGTTGAATGGCAAATAGAATTGGATTATTTTGTTTAAAGAATATATTTTGTATGGGTTTTGTATAATTTATGATGTCATGTCCTACATGCTTTGAAAGATCAGTAAAGGTATTGTTTTTTGCGGGATTAAGTTCTTCCTCATTGCATCTGTCTGATTGTTATGATCTCAGAAATTGCTATACAGAGTTTCATGCGGTTTTTATCAATGAATGGATAGAATGATTCACGATAACTGCTTTTTTATCACGAACACTATCGCTACATAGTATAAAACAATGTCGCTATCCACCGTCTGTCAGTCCCTATGTATGCTTAGATCTTTAAAAGGTGGTTTTTAATAAGTAAGAAACTGACCCTCCCGCCTCACCCAGGCGGGAGAAGTCATTCGATGATTTTCCCCCCTTAAAAAGAAGTCTCTAATACGACTATTGCCAATGGATATTCATAGGGTTTCATTCAATGCTTCATAGGAATAGATGACACACATGATTACACATGATTTACTTGTATTTTGTCACATTTTTAAGTGTTACAGTTATTGTATTTATAAAAAAAATAGTATTAGATAGTTGTAAGCTAAATTGGTTTTGGCAGTTTTGTAGTTTACAAATAATATTTGTTACTTTAGTGGTGCTTTGAAATGATCCAATTATATTTTATTTTGTAAACAAATCTGAGAGTTATGTAATTATTTGTTTCAGGTGGTTACATGTGTGAGGATTGTGAAACTGGACGCTTGCCGCTATACGGAGAAATGGTGTGGGTCAAACTGGGGCATTATAGGTGAGTTTTATTATTTACTAGCTCTTCCTCGTGACTTCATCCTCGTAGAATAATGACTTCTGGCAGAACTTGGGTTGTCTAATGAAAGCGTATGCAATATGAGGATCTTTTTGGTAGATTTTTCATACATCGGGATACATTACACTGTTTTTACACTGTTCTTTTTTCTCTATTCTAATAAAGCCTATGGTCATCACGGATAATGTAGGACTCCAATGATAATTGATTTTTTAAATCGTTCAAGTAGTTTCGGAGCCTATTCAATTCAACAAATAAACAATAAATAAAATGTTTCCTCTTTATAATATTAGTGTAGATGTAGACCAGTTACCCCCACGCATTTTATCTGCCCTGCCTTCCTATTGATCGTAGTCTGATATTTTATAGCCTATAGACTTCTTTGATAAATGAACTATCCAACACTTAAATAATTATTCAAATGGGACCAGTAGTTCCGGAGATTAGGGCGTTTAAACAAAGTCTCCAGCCTTATATAGTACTATCTCGGGCCACCGTAAGCACGGGCTTGCGGACGGCGAGCTACCCATGCTCGCCGCCCGACCAAAACCAGCCCTGTGCGTACGGCGCATAGCATTCCGCGCGCGCCTTAAAGAACCATCAGACCACCACAGATGGGGGCCAGTAGTAGGTCGCTCATGCCCGATACGGTGCGGAAGGCCTAACGGGTTGTCGGTACTCCGGCTCGAAATGCAGGAGTAGGAACGGGGTGGTTTTTAGTTAGTAAGAGTGACACTCCCTTTCGCCAAGCCGGGAGAATTCATTGGATGATTTTCCCCCTCAAAAAAAGGCCTTATATTGTACATATTGTACATTAGCTTCTGAAATTAGCTTAATGTTAGCATTAAGCTAACTATCGCGCTGATTATCTTCCTAATACTACAATTGTATTTTACAGATGGTGGCCCGGTATAGTTCTACATCCATCGGAGATACCAGAAAATATAATGGCAGTCAAACACAATCTCGGAGAGTTCGTTGTACGGTTCTTCGGTCAGTACGACCATTACTGGGTTAATAGAGGACGCGTGTTCCCTTTCCAAGAAGGTAAGGTTTAGTTATCACTACATAGTATAAAAGAAAGTCGCCATCCGCCGTCTGTCTGCCCCTATGTATGCTTAGATCTTTAAAACTACGCAACGGATTTTGATGCAATTTTTTTAATACATAATGTGATTAAGGAAGGTTTATGTGTATAATACATGCATGTTGCAACCGTGCGAAGCCGAGGCGGGTCGCTAGTCATTTATAAAATATTAAATTGAGACAAAACTTTATACTGAAGACTGCCTCGTTGGACTCATAATATAAATAGTGCAAAGCATCTCTGCCTACCCCTGCGGGGATAAAAGGCGTGCTATTACGTAAACTTTTTATAGTCACATAATATTTTGAGATTTTCTTCCAATAATAAAATCCGGTTGGCTGGGCAACTGGCTACCGCACAACATGTCGCGGGTTTGATTCTCCCACGTAGCAACTCTTTGTGTGATCCACAAATTGTTGTTCCGGGTTTGGGTGTCATGTGTATGCGAACTTGTATGTTTGTTATATTTCATTATCTGATTTTTTTACAGGTGATTCCGGACGAATATCAAGTCAGAAGTCCAAAATCGATGCTGCGTTTACCACTGCAATGGAGCATGCGCAGAGAGCCTGCGAAATATTAAAAGGTGAGTTAGAAACATACCTACATATTATTGCTTACTACACATCAAGATAATATTCTTCTAAGGCCTGTTGTCCGTCGCGGAGAACCTAACGGGTAACCGGGGCTCCGGCTCGACATGCAGGAGAAGGAACGGGGTGGTTTTTAGTCAGTAAGAGTCTGACACTCCCTCCCGCCTCACCCAGGCGGGAGAAGTCATTCGATGATTTTCCCCTCTTAAAAAAAGGCCTGTTGTCCTCGACGCGTCATTTGAGACTTTAGAACGAGTTTGTTTAAAGTAATCGTAACGAGTACGCGTTCGGTTCACGGTTCACTCTGATTGGCCGGCTCTAATAAACCAACCAATCAGAGGCCTTAGTACGAGTTTGATTTACGTTTAAAGTATTCGAGACGAGTACACGTTCGGCATTTTGATTGGCCGGCGCCAATGAACCAACCAATCAGAGCGCCGAACGCGTACTCGTTACGATTACTTTAAACGTAAAACAAACTCGTACTAAGGTCTCAGAGCGCTGGACGAGGTTTCGTTTCGATGTCGTAAATTATATTGAGAAAACCTCTACTAGATTCGAACCACAGGCGGCGATGTCCCGCAGCTCACTCGTCGTCGTCGTATTTAAGTACAATTGAAAATTGACTGCACGGTTGGTGCGGTGGCTGGGTAACCGGTTGCCGTGCAACGTGTCGCGGGTTCGATTCCCGCACGGGACAACACTTTGTGTGATCCACAAAATGTTGTTCCGGGTCTGGGTGTCATTGTGTATGTGAACTTGTATGTTTGTAAACGCCCAACCCACGACACAGAAGAAAATACTAGTGTGGGGCAACGTTTTTTAAAAAAAAAAAGAAAAAAAGAATTGAGTAGCGTTTCTTTATTCAGGCGTAAATGTATCTAAAGTAACATAACATAACATAACATCACGCCTTTTATCCCCGAAGGGGTAGGCAGAGGTGCACATTATGCCACTGTACAATGTAACACCCACTTTTCACTATTTATGTTATGAGTCCCATGTAATAGGGGGTGAGCCTATTGCCATATACCGGGCACAATTCCAGACTCCGTGCTACTACTGAGATTTTTTTAAAAAACCCCAGTAATACTTTGCCCGACCCGGGGATCGAACCCGAGACCCCTTGCCCGGCGGTCGCGCTTACGACCACTCGGCCAACGAGGCAGGATATCTAAAGTATCTTATTATATCTTCCAGCGGCCCAACCAAACGAGGAAGAATCTCTAGACATAGCATCGTCCCTGCTCCCCCCGCACTACGTGAAGCTGAAGGTGAACAAGCCGTGTGGCTCCCTCTGTGGGAGGAAACTAGACGACCCGGAGAGTTCACTCACTCAGTGCGAGTGTAACCCTAATGATGAAGACCCATGTGGACCTTATTCACAGTGTTTGAATCGGTATGTGATAGATTTTATAATTATAAAGACATTTTTTCTTTGATATATCCATTCTAACAGGTTCACTGGTTCACACATACGGTTTGTAGAGCAACTTCCATACAAGTCCACAGACCGTATGTGGTCTGTTTGCCGGTACACATACCACATATGATCTGTGGACTCACGAGGTGATTTTTACCGTCCTGGAAGTACTACGAGTCCACAGACCATATGTGGTCTGTGTATATAAAAAGGAAAATAAAAGGCCATATATATTTTAAAACACTTATGTACACATTTTAACCACAAATATACCAACTTTTAATAAAAACGTAACTGGACTTATGGACCATTCCCACTCTGGAGCCTGGACAGTGAACCTGCTAATATTATAACGCTGAGGAGTTTGTTTATATGTTTGTTTGTATACCCTAATCTCCGGAAATACTAGTTTGAATTCAGTAAATGTTTTCGTGTTGGATAACCCGCTGCTTAAATCCTATTGATCGTAGTGGGATGTTTAATAATTTACCTAGACTGTGTAACATAAGGCCGGCAACGCACCTGTGTCTCTTCTGGTGTTGCGGGTGTCCATGGGCGACGCTGATCGCTTACCATCATGTGATCCGCCTGCGCGTTGTCTATTCCATAAAATAAACCGAAATTGTTTAATTTGAACCGAAATAGTTCCGGAGATTGTTTAACACATTGGATGCCGTATCGGACAATGATATCCGACGCTAGCGGAGGATTAGCCTTTAATAGTTTTTGTTGGCAGTTAAAGGCTTAAATATACAAATTCTTTTGCTGTACTGTAGTTATAGATTGCTGAAACACTAAAAAAATGTGTTGCTTATTCTCTTCGGGGTTTAAAAAGGTGTTATTACGATTTTATTTTGAATCTAATTGATCTACTCCTGTGCGGATCAGCCCGCTCTGCTCTGCTTCTATTGTTCGCAGCGTGATGTTTAATAGCCTATAGCTTTCCTCGATAAATGCACTATCCAACACAAAAATATTTAAGTTCCGGAGCTTAGCGCGTTTAAACAAACTTTTCAGCTTTATATAATAGTGTATAAGATTTTACCTGCCTCGTTGGCCGAGTGGTCGCAAGTGCGACTACCGGACAAGAGGTATCGGGTTCGATTCCCGGGTCGGGCCAAGTACTACAGTGTTTTTAAAAAATTCTCAGTAGTAGCACGGAGTCTGGAATTGTGCCCGGTATATTGCAAACGGCTCACCCCCTATTACATGGGACTCATAACATAAATAGTGAAAAGTGGGTGTTACGTTGTACAGTGGCATTAAGTGCCGTAATGTGCACCTCTGCCTACCCCTTCGGAGATAAAAGGCGTGATGTTATGTTATGCAAGATTTTACCATATTTGATAATTGATATCTCTGTTTACAGAATGTTACTAACGGAATGCGGGCCCACATGCAAGGCAGGCGATAGATGCAACAACCGCGCCTTCGAGAAGAGACTGTACCCTAAACTAGTGCCTTATAGGACCCCCAGTAGAGGATGGGGGCTCAAAACCTTGGAGGATATTAAAGCAGGTAGGTGATCAACGTGATTTTTACGTGACGTCTTTTTTAATACGTTGATTATATCGTACTGAAAAATTGGTCATACAAAAGTAATCTCCAATAAAAGACAATATTGTTATGTAGATGTAATTTAATGTACAGACCTGTATTGACTGCACGATTGGGGCTGGGCAACCGGCTGCCGTGCAACGTGTCGCGGGTTCGATTCCCGCACGGAACGCACAACACTGTGTGATCCACAAATTATTGTTTCGGGTCTGGGTGTCATGTGTATTTGAACTTGTATGTTTGTAAACGCACCCACGACACTGGAGATAATCCTAGTGTGGGGCCAAGTTTAAAAAATATAAATTTAAGTATGTATCTAATTAGTTAAAAGTCGCAGGTGAGAATTTATGATAATAGTAATAGTAGCGTATGATCAAATTAACGTCCTTCGGGCGACTGTCGGGCAAATTATGGTTTAATTTAAATAAATGCTTCGACTTTGACTTTGAGACCAGTTCTATGCAATTATTAACCAACTTTAAAAAAAGAAGGAAGTCCTCAGTTTGAAAATGAAAACATTTATTTGTAAACATAGGTACAATGGGATGTTACATTTCATGGTATAATATTGACCATCTATGTTTTGTGATATGTCATACAAATTTAGTTAAAGATTTAGTTTGAGTAATTAATAACGTCATTAATATAAATTTCATTCGAATAAATTATTACAATAGTCACGAATGTATATAAAAGGTATATAAAAATATAGATAAGTAATTGATAAATTTGACTCGTATGTATGTACAAAATGTGTATGTTTGTCTGCGATTATCTCGCGATTGGATGAACCGATTTTGATGCAATTTTTTATACTAAAGTTTGTTACAGTCAAGAGCAGGTTGTGGTATAAGTGATTTCAAAAAATAAGGTGGTTGAAGTCGGTTTTAGTTATCGTACTCTATACAGTTATTTAAGCAATACTTGGCCACACAAAAGGGCCTGCGGACGGAGAACTCCCCGCCCGCCCAGCACCACACCCGAGCGTGCGGCGCCGGGCGACCCGCGCGGCACACAGCCATCACACCACCACGGTTGGGGGCCAGTAGGGCTGATGCCGACTCGGAGTCGCGGAGAACTTAACGGGTTACCGGGGCTCCGGCTCGACGTGCAGGAGAAGGAACGGGGTGGTTTTTAGTCAGTAAGAGTCTAACACTCCCTCTCGCCTCACCCGGGCAGAAGACATTCGATGACTTTCTCCTCTTAAAAAAAACAAGGGTTTTCTCCTGTGTCGTGGGTGCGTTTACAAACGTGGATCCATACATTTTCACAAACTTTCGCATATGTAATATTGTAGGATAGGACATAATCTATTACTCAATTTATTAACAAAACGTTTCCATCACAGGACAGTTCGTGATAGAATACGTTGGCGAATTAATAGACGAAGAGGAATTCCGTCGTCGCATGCGCAGAAAGCACGAGATCAGAGACGAAAACTTTTACTTTTTAACGCTGGACAAAGAGAGAATGATCGATGCCGGACCTAAAGGGAATCTTGCTAGGTATGTATATTTATTAAAACATATTAATATTTAATTTTATTAACGTGATTGGCTACTCTTGCATGGTTTCAAATACTCGCCGCTCGGCTCCTATTAATCGTAGCCTTATGTTTTATACCCTAAAGCTTTCCTCGATAAACGGACTATCCAACACAAGAACAATTTTTTAAATCGATCGATGTTTGTTGCTTATAGTCTCTACCTACCCCTAAGGGAGGCAGGCGTGAGGTTATGTATGTATGTATGTTTGTTTGTTTGTTTGTTTCTTAACATTATGTGTCTTAATTCGCAGGTTTATGAACCATTGTTGCGAGCCAAACTGTGAAACACAGAAGTGGACGGTGCTCGGCGATGTACGAGTTGGATTGTTCGCTCTTTACGATATACCAGCTGTAAGTACATGTGAATTTTCTACTACACTACCTTTCGCCAGCGGGTAACTCGCGTGAAGTTATGTTTAAAAACGAAATGTAGTACAAAATAAAAGTGATTTGTTTTCTTTCAATACACGTTTGTATCGACATCAGTAGATAAAACTACAATCCGTAAATTTTTGTTATTGGATTTTCGACTTTACCTTAAAGCAATAAAGTTAAAATTCGGATAATGGAATTTGATAGAAAAGAATGACTGGCGCTGGTGTAATTTACCTTCAACAGTATTCTGTCGTTGCCGACTGCCTCGTTGGCCAAATGGGCGCAAGTGCGACTGCTGGGCAAGAGGTCTCAGGTTCGATTCCCGGGTCGGGCAAAGAATAACTGGGTTTTTAAAAATCTTAGTAGTAGCACGGAGTCTGGAAATGTGCCCGGTATATGGCAATAGGCTCACCCCCTATTACATGGGACTCATAACATAAATAGTGAAATGTGGGTGTTACATTTGTACAGTGGCATTTAGTGCCGTAATGTGCCTACCCCTTCGGGGATAAAAGGCGTGATGTTATGTGTGTATGTATGTAGTATTCTGTCGACTGTCAAAATTTGTGGATTCTGAGGTGAAATATAAAATATTAATTAATATTAAAATTTTACAGAACAGTGAAGTGACATTCAACTACAATTTGGAGTGTGCCGGCATTGAGAAGAAGCGATGTATGTGTGGAGCTAAACGGTGCTCCGGATACATCGGGGCTAAGCCTAAACAGGTATGATAATATTATTTATTCCTTTACTAGTTTTTACCCGCGGCTTCGCTCGCATCACAAAAGGATAAAAGCTAGCCTATGTGATATATACCAATACACACAGCGCCATCTATACCAATAATTTCGCTTTCCCTCGAGAATATCAAATTTTTCCGGGATAAAAAGTACCCTATTATTTAATCCAGACTTCTAACTGTACATCTGCAAAAATTCAAAGCAATCGGTTTAGTAGTTACGGCGTCGATGCGGAACAAACAAACAAACTCACTTTCCGATTTATAATATTAGTAAGGATTGGCTAGTATCTGCTGTCTTTATTGTCAAAGTCTATTACCTGAAGGGTGTAACCTGGGTGTCTTTAAGTCCTGAGTGAATAGGTAGCTTATGGGAAGATGTGCTCTATCATAGACCGCATCATCGCTTACCACCAGGCGAGATAGTGAACAAACGTTGTTATATAAAAAAATTGTCTACTCTCGCGCTCTTTATTGGCTACTAGCTTCTGCCCGCGACTTCGTACGCGCAATCCTGTCTTCTCCCGTTCTCATAGGATTTTCAGGATTGTTTCTGTCTTAACCCTTTGAGTACCGTCATTATAGACAGAATTAAAGAACAATAGGTTGCGGTCGCCGGTGTCCTCGCGGTGTTTGACAGTTTAAGAACTTTCTCCTAATAATAACAAATACAACAAAAACATAGGTGAAATCGGTCCAGCCATTCACACCAAGGAAAAAAGGGATTCATTTTTATATATACAGGCTACTCCTTTTTAAATAGAAATTCCCATTTGTATCTAGTTTTGGTTGCTCTGAAAAAGATTGTGTCGAATTTTATTATCATGCAATCTGAATGTGATCTACATTGTCACAATCTAAATGTAGATCACAATCTGATTGCGTCATAATAATTACAGGGTATACCAAGGTGTAATCAAGATTATGAGATAAATTATATTATTGCACAAAGTACTATAATCACTACATATCGGCCTCCCAATAAGAATAAATCACTTCAATTCTAACTCTCAATTTCAGGATGAATCTCAATCAAAGAAACCAAAAATACCCGGCAAAAGAACATATAAGAAAAGAAAACCGACTGAAGAGTCGCCCTCTACAAAGAACAAGCCAAAACGACCAATAGGGCGCCCGCCGAAACCGAGAGAGCTGACAGAAATTGAGAAAGACCTCCTCATCATAAGGAATGCGACCAATGGGATCTCCAGCGATGAATCCACCAGAAGCGCCAGCTCCGAGTATGAGAGACACCCTAAAGCCTTAAAAAGGAAAAGGGTAAGTTTCTCAACGGAAGAAATTATTCTATACGACGGCTCAGAGTCCCCTAGTGTCAAAAAACAAAAACTTGAAGACAGATTAGACGTCGGCGATTGAGACAATTGAGTATTTTTAATCTGTGCGAAAGAGTGCTAACTTTTTGTAGTGTTCTTTTTTTAAACGGTTTATTTATCTGTATGTGCTAGAGAGAGATGGCTAAATTATATATAGCTGTCTTTGTTACTCGTTTGCATATTGTTTTAAATGCAGTTTGATTTTATAAATGTAACGATCTGCATGATTTATTTAACGGAGTATGATTATTGTTAGTTTGTATGTATTGTGTTGGTGTGTGTCGGTTTGGTTAGTATTTTATATAGTTATTAAAATTTTAGTACATAATATGTACAAGGGTCTTATGAATTTATATTTCTGTAATCTTCTTTGAATTAATTTACTTTCTAATTTTTCAATCTCAGTTAAAAAAAATACTTATTCCTATATTTTGTATACTTCTGCTTTTTTTGACTGCTTCGTTGGCCGAGTGGTCGCAAGTGCGACTGCCGGGCAAGAGGTCTCGGGTTCGATTCCCGGGTCGGACAAAGTATTACTGGGTATTTAAAAAATAATCTCACTAGTAGCACGGAGCCTGGATTTGTGCTCGGTATATGGCAATAAGCTCACCCCCCTATTACTTGGAATTCATAACATAAATAGTGAAAAGTGGGTGTTACACTGTACAGTGGCATTAGGTGCCGTAATGTACACCTCTGCCTACCCCTTCGAAGATAAAAGGCGTGATGTTATGTTATGTTAGTAACAATTATCCAGTACATATTTATTTCTTTATCTATATAGTATTTTTATAGTTTCTTGTCATTTTCTAATTGTATCATTGAAACTGGATCTGTGGCTTACCCTTAGGTCCTTTTATAGGACACAATATTTTAATACTAACTCCAACTGATGATGTAACCTACTTATAAAAACTACTTGTATATTTTTATATCGTTTTATAAATAGTATAAACAGTTCTGATAATACAAATGATAGGAATGGGAGTCAAATGCGGCTTTGGTCGTTAGGTATCGCAGTTTGAGTCCCATTCGTGTAATTCGCTTTTAAAAGAGAAAAAATCTAACCATACCAACACAAATCAAAGATAAAAATATTCTATCAAAGATTGTGTTATTTGTATATACTCTAGAATAGACTTAAAATAAAAAAATATCAGGAAACGAATGTAGTCTGATGCGATTAACGCCTTTATTGTATAGGTAGTAAAGTTCATAATACTGTAACAATGTTCGTTGCCTTACGACCAATTTGTTGTTATATGCCAAATTTGTTAATTTTAAAGGCTAGTAATATGTTTGTGAAGATACTGTGATGCGAAATTGTAACGATTTCTTAGCTTGTCTATTGTAATTTGTATGAAAGTTAAAATTATATTTGTTACACAATTGATGGAACGGATAGGGTTTTATCAAGACGGAATTAATAATTAAGTTAAATAAAATATAAAAAAAAATATGTTTTTGTTTTCATTTTCCATTGGGGCTAGCTCTCAATGACAGCACTGATCAAACTTTATTTCATTTCATTTTATTCGACGGGTTGCATCTCGTGAGACGTATGTGTCGAGGAATTATAATTGCGACTGCCCATTCAGCAGAATTCCGCAGCATGGCGCCAACCCTTTGTCTTTGTTTTATTCTCAGGTCTTGTTTTTTTTAAGCGTGTGGAAAATCATCCTATTACTGCTCCCGCCTGGGTGAGGCGGGAGGGAGTGTCAGACTCTTACTGACTAAAAACCAAACCGCTCCTTCTCCTACACGTCGAGCTGGAGCCCCGGTAACCCGTTAGGTTAGGTTAGGTTAGGCCTAGCAAAGAATTAAGGAGGTTTTTCGAAATAACCTTCAGAAGTTAAGACACCCACCTAAGAAGAGGAGGTAAGACCTGAGGTGGCGTGAAATATATTCTAGTCTGCAGTTAACATTACGTTACTATACGGTCAAAAGTGATCCCATGACTCGAATATTACACTGGTAATTATTACAGATAATTTATAAAAATGAATTGCCTTTCGTTAGACTAGCTAAAACGCGTAAACGGCTGCACCAATTTGGCTAATTTTGGTCTTGAATTATTTATAGAAGTACTGGTGAGGTTTAAACTAAGATGTATTAAAGGCAGTACGAAGAGTACTGGGACAGCTAGTTACAATGTTTTATGGGATAAGCCGGTAAACTAGCAGACGGATCACCTGATGGTAAGTAATCGGCGTCGCCCATGGACACTTGGAACACCAGAGGCGTTACATGTGCGTTACCGGCCTTTTGGGGATTAGGAATTTGAGGATTGTTGGAGAGTCAGGAATTGGGAAAATGGGCGGGGTGTAGTTCGGCCTCAGGTCAACACTCACTCGATGAAATACAACACAAGCGTTGTTTCACATCGGTTTTCTGTGAGACCGTGGTATCACTCCGGTCGAGCCGGCCCATTCGTGCCGAAGCATGGCTCTCCCACACTTTTATTAAATAAAATTCACCCAATTATATAACACTTAAATGTATAATAAAGGTCAATGTACAAGTAGCGTACAGGAAGAATACAGTGGCATACAATATTTTATACCTAGCTTCATTTATCATCATGATTATTTTGTATCTCTTGTCAAATAGCATATCTGAGCACCATAGTAACTGGAACAAATTGATTTTATTAGTATCGTGAGACATTTATACAAAATTAGTTGTTTATGACCGCTTACTCGCGTGAAGGTGTTGAAAAGAGCTGTAGGTATTTTTGAGGGGGGCGGGGGAAATCATCCAATGACTTCACTCGCGTTGGGTTACCACCCCATTCCTACACCTGTTTCGAGCTCCGGTTACCCGCTACTTCGTTCACAACTCAGAATAACGACTTACTCATGGGAATTTATTGAGTAAATCTACTATTTCAAGTCATAATGAGACACCAAGTCCGAGTATGTTGTGGAGAGCCGTGGCGGAGTGCCCACGAATTGGCTATAAGCATTTGACGACTCACACGACACGCCACGACATACAAGTGTGGTTTCAACCATAAGCATAAGTGGGTGTTACGTTATACAGTGCCGGCACCTCTGCCTATCCCTTCGGGGATAAAGGCGTGATGTGATGATGCTATATTAGTGGCGTAAGCTGTAATGTTATATGTGTGAATTTAAATAAAAGGTAAAGCTATGAAAGTGAAGTGAGTTTTAGCGCCACACCGCGCCTCGCGACACGACACGGGGCCACAGGCTAATATATTTCTCGGTAACAGAATATACAGAGCCGGGTTACCCCTAATGCTTTGTTCGTACTATGCTAGTATTTTAGTCAAGTAGCGAGTATTTAGTAACTCTCTTGTTTCGATTTTGGGATAGAAGCGAAAGGGATATAAACATTCGCTCAGAACAAGGCATTAGGCAAATTAGGCAAGTGCCTAGGGCGCTAGGTTGCAGAAGGGCGCGGCGAGACGCGCTTGTCCAACTGCCCATAGAGTGTCGACGGCGCCAAAAACGTTAGGGGTGTCTGTGAGCTGCTTGTCTAGGGCGCTATCTAGGATTAATACGTCTCTGTATAAACGAAAAGGTGAAATCATACTTACTGCACCAATAAAAGCAAAGAATATACAACCATTTTTTAAACTAAAAGTGTAGTTAAATTTGTCAGGATCACTCGCGTCTAAAAATTTTTTTATCATATTGATTCTTTGATAGATTAATTTTCAATAATTCCAAGCTTTATTATTTTTGATCCTCCTTAAAATAATAAGAAAATAAATATTCAAATTGTTGTAGAAATATCACTTTAAAAATTCGTTTGAAGTTTACGTTTAACGTGTCAAATGAAATCGCCAGAGGCTATCAAAAGAGGTTTGCGACTTTTATAACTATTGTGGTTTTATTGAAGAAGTTTTTAATACATTTCTTTGATGTATGAGCTTTGTTTTTGATTTGATTTTGAAAGCCTGTTAAAGCTTTAAATACCTACACAATACTGCATCTATACATAACATAAGTAAAACTCAATACATTAATACTGAAAAGTTTATTCTAAACGGATTCTTATAAGAACACAGTACAATGGAAATGGAAAGCAGAAAGAGCATTTCAAAATCCACAAAATTCCCGATAATCAAAACTCCCGGAAAGCTCTCCAGGTAACCCCTATATTCCTTCTTAATGATCGGACTAAAAGACGCTGCGAAAAATAAACAATTTTAGATCGACTTAAGCAACTGTACACCCGAAGGTATATCATGTGCAGGGAGCGAATGATTTATCGGATCGGATGAAATCAAATATTCTTCGGTAACTTGTACCTTATCCCAGACTCAAGATTCAGAGTCGCGGAGAACCTAACGGGTAACCGGGGCTCCGGCTCGACGTGCAGGAGAAGGAACGGGGTGGTTTTTAGTCAGTAAGAGTCTGACACTCCCTCCCGCTTCACCCAGGCGGTAGCAGTCAATCGATGATTTTCCCCCCTTAAAAAAAAATCCCAGACTCAAAAGCGTCCACATATGCGGCTCACCTAATACCTAAATCAATCTAATTCAAGTCTCAATTCTAATATAATAAGCAAAGGAAGAAAAACCAATACAAAAGCTAAAGTCTAATAAACGAAGGATAAGTTGAACTATTTTTCTTTTATCCCCAAGTGAATCAAGCACTGCTTAAGTTAACAAAGTAAAGTACGGACTTAGTACTTGTTCATAACTTAGAAACAACTTGAATCTACCTTTATTAATACTCGTATTTGTATAAGAAAGTAAGTGGACAAATGCTGTATTTGACTTTGTTCTTCTTGCTAGCTAAATAATTCTAAGAATGTTATGTCGGTACATTCTTTTCTGTATTTGATGTTATTTACAATTGATGAGAGCAAAGAGCAGATGGATTATTTGATAGCTGACCAAGTGTGGGAGAGCTATGCTTCGGCACGAGTGGGCCGGCTCGATTGCAGTGATACCACGGCTTTACAGAAAACCGACGTGAAATAATATTTACGTGGCGTTTCGTCGTGTGAGTGAGGTTACCGGAGGCTCAATTACTTCTCTCCCCAATCTCCCTGCATCCCCGACATTCCCCAAATTCCTAATCTCCAAAAGGCCGGTAACGCACTTGTAACGCCTCTAGTGTTTCGAGTTTTCATGGGCGGCGTCGATTGCTTACCATCAGGAGATCCGTCTGCTCGTTTACCGGTTTATCCCATAAAACATACATTACTAACCTTTTTAGGTTTTGTGTTTACGTTTATATGATTATTACTTACATAATAACATTACGTGAGGAACTCGGTCTTCCAACCTTTGTATAAAGATTAGGAAATCCCATTTGTTATAACGAAGACGTTTATTTTTACACCAAATATAGTATTTACGATGATACGCACTTTTGTTATTAATGGGAATCCGCTGACTATGCGTGATTCAGAAAATAATGTACAGTCAGCGAGAATAGAATAACTCCATTCAAAGTTATACGAGAGATTTCGGATAGTACCTAAAGTTACTTTTAGCCCGGGATGTTTAGGTACATTTGTGGTTTCATGGTGGCCGGGAGGTTTAAATCTACCAACGGCAAGTACCAATGTGACTTTTTCTGAGTACGGTTGCGATTCTTCAGCTTTATATAATAAAAAAAGTAATACAAGATTATAGATTTTTTTTTTAAACATTGCCCCACATTAGTATTTTCTCCTGTGTCGTGGGTGCGTTTACAAACATACAAGTTCACATACACAATGACACCCACACCCGAAACAACAATTTGTGGATCACACAAAGTGTTGTTTCGTGCGGGAATCGAACCCGCAACACGTTGCACGGTAGCCGGTTGCCCAGCCACCGCACCGACCGTGCAGTCATAGATAACTTATGGGCAAGCATGCTCCATAGTCATTTACCAAAAGGTGAGAAACAGGACACAGAACCCATTTCCAATAATTCTGTCTGCAATCATTGCACGGCTGTTGCAATGGCTGGGCAATCGGCTGGCGCGCAACATGCAGCGATTCCCGTACGAAGCAACTGTTTGTAGGTATGTAATCTCTATTCATAACTACACTTTGGAACGAGTGCTTAGCTTCACTGACAGACTGACGGACGGACAATTAAATTCTTGATGATTTATAAGTGTCTAATTAAGAATGAATTAAAATAAATGTTTTGACTTTGAATTTGAGTTTGTAAACGAGTTTGTACATGAGAAAGACAAAGAAGCAATGTTTAAAAAAATGAAATTTCTGGTTCCGGAGATTTAACATACAAAGTCTAGTAGTATTGGTATAGTACTAGTATTAGTATGTAGTTTATGTACTGGGGTACCTTTATATATATATAGGTACGTACATTTATCACCCTCGTTTTTTTATTTATTTTTTTCAATATAAAAGTGTGGGAGAGTCATGCTTCGGCACGAATGGGCTGCTCGACCGGAGTGATACCATGGCGTCACAGAAAACCGACGCGAAGCAACGCTTGCGTTGTGTTTCGTCGTGTGAGTGAGGTTACTGGAGGCCCAATTACCTTCCCCTTCCCCAATCTCCCCAATCCTTGAATCCCCAACGATCCTGAAACTCCTAATCCCCAAAAGGCCGGTGACGCACTTGTGACGCCTCTGGTGTTCCAGGTGTCCATGGGCGACGCCGATTGCTTACCATCAGGTCTGCTCGTTTACCGGCTTATGCCATAAAAAAATAGATGCAAACTTCGTTTAAAACCTACTGTAACAGCATGCATCACCCTATGGTTGGCTGGTAGAGAATGTCATTCGGCATTAAGTCCGCCATTGTATACATTTGTACAAAAAGTGTTTAAATAAATAAATAAATAAAGTCTTCAGATGTACCTATAATATTCAGATTGTCATTTTCTTATGTCAAGTGCAGATGTGTTTGATGTTCCCTCATAGGGAACATCAAACACATCACAGTTGGGTGTGACGTCATACCTGTGAGCTGTGTGTGACGTCACTGTAACATGTGTAGCGTTTAATGATTTGATCGACATGTCTATTTGGTCCATACATTTTGTAACATAAGTTTGCCATATACCGGGCACCCGGGCACAATGCCAGACTCCGTGCTACTCAATGATTTTTTTACTATAAAAAATCATTGGTGCTACTACTGAAAATTTGTCGAGATTAAGAAAAGGTAAATATTATTAAAAACCTATTTTATATACACACATAACACCACGCCTTTTACCCCCAAAAGGGTAGACAGAGGTATGATTAAGGCACTGTACAATGTAACACTCACTTTTCGCTAATTATGTTATGAGTCCCATGTAATAGAGGGTGAGCCTATTGCCATATACCGGGCACAATTCCAGACGCCACGCTATTTTTGACAAATTTTATTTTAAATTTTTAATTAAATACATATCTTTGATAATCATCAATAGCACATATTGACTAGACACACACAATATACCTGATAAGGCGCAAACCATTTAGTCTACATACAACACAATCTCTCTCTTATTCCAATGCAATAAAGTCCAATTTCATGAAACAAACATAAACATTGATTCTCGTTTGTCTACTACCTACATTATTCCGTTCATATTTATGGACAAATACAAAGCAAAGCGAGTGAAACCGAGTGGAAAGTATTGTATTGTATTCTGTGATAAACATCTGAATGAAAACAGATGGAGAAGGAATCGAACCTGAAATCATTTGACAAACGAATGACTTTTTTTGATGACGCAATATTATGAATGATAAATAGAATATTGTTAATAAGGAGAAATTTAGTACAATTTTTAAAATAAAACGAACCTATGTGTTGTTATAGAATAGAGTCTATTCTATCTCTATTCCACATTTCATGCCGAACTCTTCAGCCGTTTTGTCGGTGTGTCAGACACGACCGACACGACAGATACGACCGACACGACAGACACGACCGACACGACAGATACGACAGACACGACAGATACGACCGACACGATAGATACGACCAACACGACAGATACGACAGAAACGACAGATACGACTGACACGACAGATACGACAGACACAACAGATACGACAGACACGACAGATACGACCGACACGATAGATACGACCAACACGACAGATACGACCGACAGGACAGATACGACAGATACGACTGACACGACAGATACGACCGACATGACAGACACGATAGATACGACCAACACGACAGATACGACCGACACGATAGATACGACCAACACGACAGATACGACCGACACGATAGATACGACCAACACGACAGATACGACCGACACGACAGATACGACAGACACGACAGATACGACAGATACGACTGACACGACCGACACGACAGATACGACAGATACGACTGACACGACAGATACGACTGACACGACAGATACGACCGACACGACAAATACGACCGACACGACAAATACGACCGACACGACAAATACGACCGACACGACAGATACGACCGACACGACAGATACGACCGACACGACAAATACGACAGATACGACCAATACGACAGATACGACCGACACGACACATACAACCGACACGAGAGATACAACAGACACCATGAACTTGACAGATACAACAGACACGACTAGCTTTATATAATAAAAAAGTATAAGGTAAAAAATAATAGTAACATATAAAGATACCTACTTAGCTTTACTCTAGAGTGCCACTAGAGGTTCACGGAGGAAACACTAACCTCTCAGGAGGGAACATTTTATCGCAAGTAAATTACCTGCTACCGCCGTCGCAACTGTGTAATGTGAAACAATAAACTTACTTGCATATACAATAGAAATCATGTTACAATTTGTCTTATTAATAGATTAACATAAGATAAATGCTGAAGAGCCATGATCGGCACGAATGGGCCGGCTCGACCGGAGTGATACCATGGCCTCACAGAAAACCGACGTGAAACAATGCTTGCGTTATGCTTCGTCGTGTGAGTGAGCCTAAAACCTGGGCTTATAATGTCTAATCATAAGTCTGTAATCGTCAACCCGCATTAAGCAAGCGTAGTGGTTAATGCTCAAACTTTGTCCGTGTGAGAAGAGGCTTTGCTCAGCAGTGGGCATTTATAGGCTGTTGATGATAAATAGCGAAATAATGGTGGACAGAACCTGTCTGTTAAAAAGATTTCCGATCATCCTATTCAAATAAAATAAACATTTAAATAATAATTCTGTGATATTAAACTTTAATTTCAAATTCAGGTCAAAATTGTGCCCGTCCCTTTATCAATGTAGGGAATGTATTATTTATTTTTACCGCAAATGAAAGGGAAAATATAAATTAAAAATAAACAGTACGGGAATGAATGTGAAAATAAATAAGTCAGTGGTAGTCGTTGATTTTGAGAATGAGTTCCGTATATAATTATAAGATTTTCAACAATGGTGATTGTTAACTAAAATCGCGGGTTACTCACGTGAATATACTGAGAAAAGCTCTACTAGTTTCGAACACTGTGTGCAGTGAGCTGCGGGACATCGCCGCGATGGACGCATCCTGAAGGGGTAGGCAGAGGTGCACATTATGCCACTGTACAATGTAACACCCACTTTTGACTATTTATATTATAAGTCCCATGTAATAGGGAGTGAAGCTATTGCCAAATACAAGGCTAAAATTTCAGACTCCGTGCTACCACTAAGATTTTTGTTTTTAAAAACCTAGAAATACTTTGCCCCTTTTTTTTGAGGGGGGAAAATCATCTTATCACTTCTCCCGCTCCAGTGAGGCGGGAGGGAGTGTCAGACTCTTACTGACGAAAAACCACCCCGTTCCTACTCTTGCACTTGGAGCCGGAGCCCCGGCAACCCGTTACTTTACTACACTTTACTCGACCTGTGAGTCGAACCCGAGACCCCTTTCCCAGCAGTTGCACTTACGACCATTCAGCCAACGAGGCAGCAAAACATAAAATATTAGGTACATTTTTATCTAGATCGACGAAGGGATCCCTAAAATCCGTATCGTTTGAATAAATTGCGATACAGGTCTAATTTGGTGCAGGAAGGGACGAATTGATGAGGGACAGCTTTCCCTATTCAATATGGCGACGCCACGCGACGGATTTTGAAATTAAATTAGTATAGTAGGTAGAAGGATGTCCGACCTTTATTATTATTTTGTTATTTGTATTGTTTTTTTAATATGATATTGATTTGTTTCTATTTTTATTTATTTATTCACTCATAACATACAATACCCACTGCGATATTAGATTATAGTAAGATATGTATTTAGCACAAACATTTGTGAACATACATACAGCAGATGGCATAGTAGGTTCCTACTTATAATAAGGGACTGAAAAAATAAAGCTTGTGATATTATACTAAGCCGTCACTATACAAGTAACACATGTCATGCATAGAGTCCACTATTTATCTCAGTAACACGAGCAAAGCCGCTAGCAGAGACTAGTGTTGCATGTGTGATATATCCCTCTTGTGTCCTACAATAGGGTAGATGCCTAATTATTATTTTAATGTCCGTCTCCTAGATTAACTCTTTGAGTAGGTACCGTCATTATAGGCACAATTAAAGAACAATAGGTTGCGGTCACCGGTATCCTCGCGGAGTTTGACAGTTTATTTTAAATCATTACACACGTATTTTTTATTTTCTTACAGAAACGAATACTTTCGACGATATATTGATTTGAAATGTCGCGTGACGTCACTTCTATGTACATTTTATACGTAGAAATGACGTTTTAGCGCCCACTCCTAAACTTTGATTCGTTTTATCTAAGTATTGTTTTATTATACGACAAAATAAAAAAAATACGTGGCTAATATTTTTGCATTACCTAACTTACGGACTAATTAGATTTTTAATTTTCATACCCTGTCATCATTCTAATTTAGGTGAGTACTTACTGCGTTCAGTTCCTTATAATCTACATAGAAGACGGCAGTCGCATGTCAAGTGACGTTCGCGGTAATGCTATTGTATTTAATTTAGGTCACATTCACCACAATGTACACTTAATAAACAAACCTTCCCTGTGTGAGAAGACGCCTTTGCTCAGCAGTTGCCACTTAATAGACTGTTGACATAACATACCTACATACATAACATCACGCTTTTTATCCCCGAAGGGGTAGGCAGAGGTGCACATTATACCACTGTACAATGTAACACCCACTTTTCACTATTTAAGTTACGAGTCCCATGTAATAGGGGTGAGCCTATTGCCATATACCGGCCACAATTCCAGACTCCGTGCTACTACTAAATATTTTTTTTTTAAAACCCATCAATACTTTGCCCGACCCAGAAATCGAACCCGAGACCCCCTGCCCGGCAGTCGCACTTGCGACCACTCGGCCAGCGAGGCAGGCAGTAGACTGTTGATTTGATGTGAATTTAACCCAACCATAAAAACTTGTATGCAAGTATGGACCGAATTGTGATCAAACTCAAACTCAAAAGCATTTATTTCAATTAAACCATAATTTGGTACTTTTGAAACGATAACAAATACATATATAACATATAACATCACGCCTTTTATCCCCGAAGGGGTAGGCAGAGGTGCACATTACGGCACATAATGCCACTGTACAATGTAACACCCACTTTTCATTATTTATGTTATGAGTCTCATGTAATAGGGGGTGAGCCTATTGCCATATACCGGGCACATTTCCTGACTACTACTGAGATTTTTAAAAACCCAGTAATATTTTGCCCGACCCGGGAATCGAACCCGAGGCCCCTTGCCCGGCAGTCACACTTGCGACCACTCGGCCAACGAGGCAGTCAACAAATATAAAATAATAATAGTCTGTCATTCTGTCCGTCAGTGAAGCTAGGTGCTCGTTCCTAAAAGTAGATTTAAGTGGAGAAGAACGAGTAAGAAACTCCATTCGTTACTTTTTTTTTAAAATAGTATAGATCAGCAATCGTTCGCTCCATTTCTACAACCCTTGATGTTTAAATCACATCATGCGTCATTACGTGACATGCCCCAACCTAATGTCAGCCGATCAACTCCATACATTTCGATTATCGACACGAAACGATTACGATCATTGAAAGCCACTCGTAACACCAAGGGATTTCGATTACAAAATCTAATTCGATACAAAGTCCAAATAAAAAACCAATAAAGGCGTTTCCTTTAAATTCTTTGAAGCATATATTTAATTTTGTTCCATTAATTAAAAAGCGAATCGTCTATTGAAAAGTTTTTTTGGTCGACTAGGTTTTTGCTGTGGTTTGGCTCGTGTTAAATGATTAATCGTACTGGTCTTAGTCTTTTAGACGAAAAAATGTACTGTCTGGAATAACATATGAGTTAGCTTTTATCCCTTGGACGCGGGCGGACGCTTCATAGCTGTGTAATGTTTTAGAGAGCAATAGTCCGTCTAGGTAATATTTAGTAAAAAAAAAACAAAAAAAATATGTTCATCTATTCATTAATATTTATTTTTATTTTTATTTTAAAAGACTTCATGCACATACTATTGTACAAGGTGGGCTTAATGCCTAGGGCATTCTCCTCCAGCCAGACCTTTGGGTGATGCAGAGACAAAAACAATGGTCGATGCAAGAAGCAAGCGTATTTAAGACTACAGAAATGCATAAAAAAAGGATAGTATAGACTTACATAAAATAAATCCCTATATAAACTTACATGTATATGACATAACAATAAACATACACAATTATATTACATATACTACTTAGACGTAACATAACTATACATAGTAGGTATATTGATAGTTACGACTCTGCCAATCTCTTCAAAAGTAGTAGTTATTTACTGTTCTGTACAGCTGAAGAGTTTATTTCTTTGGTTGAATACGCTAATCTGTAATTATTACTGGTTCCAATAAAAAAAAATATTGTATTGAAAAGTCGGTTCATTGAGTAGTTACCATGGCACCTATTATCTTATACACTTTAGTGAATTGGTTTCATCTTGCAATTTAACTATACTATTCAATTCCAAGGCAGTAATTGAAATGTGAGTATCTTCCAAACTTGTGCTGAAGAGTGAAGAGTCAAAGTAAGAAGTGAAGCTTTAAGCGCATTATACAATTAAGAACTTGATGGTGTATCTATAAATGGTACAAATGTCTAATACTACATAGCTTCTGCCCGTGGCTTTGCCCGCGTTTTTATGGGATAAAAAGTACCCTATGTGTTATTCCATACAGTACGAATATCGCCATATGATTTCAATTGTTTTACTTTTAACTTATAAGCTATACTAACATTTTAGCGCATTCGAAAGAAAGAAAAACCATTTATTTTTGCGCAGAACACACATAACATAATGAAAAATGAAGTCTTGTCCATGGTCCACAGACCTATTATTTTACTGAAATCATAGAATACTTAATATCTAATATTCGGGCGTCATATTAACAAAATTATGTTATTCATAGCCACACTTATTAATGAATGTAGTACAATAAATACTCTCTTCTTCGAGAACAGATACAAAAACAGTAATTTTTTTTTCTGTGAACATCCCGTCTCCATTGACAACATACTACTCACAACAAACACATCTCAGTGTACGGGCAAACAGCTCGTACATACACTATAATCTAAGATTAAAGCGCGGCGACGTCGCG